TTTTTTTTTCTCAATTGCTTCCGCGACCATTAATATGGTCTTGATTGCGTAAAAACCAGTTCTTTTTGGACCAACCATACTCTTTCCTAGTTTCGTTGTCTTAATTTATAAATTTTCTCTTTGTTCTGAGTCATTTTCATGGAATATTCTAAAGAGAATTTATCCTTAGCATCTACACTTAATTAGCATTTGAAAGACCATGCTTGTCCAATGAAATGGCAGTTAATCAAGACTTGTTAAATGTGAAATTTTGCTATTTTACTTGAGGAGTTCAGAATCAACACCTGATTGTTTCTCTGTTTCATAGTTGAGTATGAATTTATAAAGGGTGTTCCTCTTTTGATTATACTTGCTTTTCTAGTATCATGGAACACTGATAAAGGTTTAGTGTGTTCCTAATTTGTTTCACTCATAGTTGCCAAGCATTTTGCTGATGCATTTAGCTTAGTTCTTAATTATGTTTACTGGAGGCTTGCTCTGAAGTTATAATGCTGATCCTGCATATTATATGCGCTTATTTGCATTGGGAATTTGAGCTTCAATAAATAGAAGAGGGATTTTGATCCGAAACCAACTTATATTAACAAAGTTTTATGGTTATATATGGTGTTTTTTTGTGAAATTACATGACTTGCTGCAAGAACATGTATTGGTATCCACTTAAATATTTGTGACGTGTGGATGGTAATGTAGGTGCTCTCACTGCTCCCTCCATATGAAGGGAAATCTGTGTTAGAACTGGGTGCTGGTATCGGCCGTTTCACTGGGGGCTTAGCCGAGAAGGCTGGGCAACTTACAACACTGGACTTTGTTGAAGACGTGATTAAGAAGGTTCGAGGCATTTTATCCTTGAGACGTTTGAATTTTCTGTTTTTGTTATATGAACCTGTGAATGAGTTGGTTCTGAGATTCACTTGTTGTTGCTTCAAGCTAAATAAATGGTGACGAATCTAGTGAATGGATTTTCATATACTTGCTTATCTATTATAATCTGTTTCCTTGCAGAATGAAAGCATCAATGGGCACCACAAGAATGTCAAGTTTATGTGTGCTGATGTGACTTCACCAGATTTGACGTTTTCACCTGAATCTGTGGATTTGATATTTTCTAACTGGCTACTGATGTATCTTTCTGACAAAGAGGTATCTTTTTTTCTTTTAATTTTTCCCTGCTTCCTGCATGAAATGTTCACTAAAGTTGCACGCTTACAAACTGATGCCAGTAATTTGGCTCAAATCTGGGAGGCATGACACAATTCCTATAATATGTTGAGTTTGAAAGAAAAGATATTCAGAACTTAAGTTCCTTCTAGGTAAAACTTTTGTTGACACCCCTTCTTCGCAGGAAGATTCTGTAAACGTTATGATTGCGCAAAAAAAGAAGTATGATAGGCACATACTAAACTATATCAATGACACATGATATTTAAAATGACATGCTTGATCAATTTTATTCTAACAGCATGTCCGAAGTATGTCCAATAGCTTTTTTCGCAGTGTCTGCGTCTAGCAACTGGAGTATTTGCATAAACAATTCCCAATAAGGCAACATTTTAGATTCAGTAGAATACTACTCCAAATGTAGATAGGAACATCTACCATGTATGATGATTATAGTAAACTGAATTTTGAAGGATCTCCGTTGTTCTTCATGCATTTTTCTTTCAATTCCAATTTGACTGATTACTGTTTAACATTTGAACTTCCCC